AGGTGGTGGTTGTGGGAGAGGTGGTGGTTGTGGAGAGAGGTGGTGGTGTGGGAGAGGTGGTGGTTGTGGAGAGGTGGTGGTTGTGGAGAGGTGGTGGTGGTGTGAGAGGTGGTGGTGGTGGTGGTGGTGGTTGTGGTGGTGGTGGTGGTGGTGGTGGAGGTGGTGGTTGTGGAGAGGTGGTGGTGGTGGAGAGGTGGTGGTGGTGGAGGTGGTGGTGGTGGAGTGGAGAGGTGGTGGTGGTGGTGAGGTGGTGGTTGTGGTGGTGGTGGTGGTGGTGGTGGAGGTGGTGGTGGTGGAGAGGTGGTGGTTGTGGTGTGGTGGTGGTGGTGTGAGAGGTGGTGGTGGTGGTGGTGGTGGTGTGGAGAGGTGGTGGTGGTGGTAGTGGTGTGGTGAGGGAGAGTGGTGGTGGTGGTGAGGTGGTGGTGTGGAGAGGTGGTGGTGGTGGAGAGGTGGTGGTGGTGTGAGAGGTGGTGGTTGTGGAGAGGTGGTGGTTGTGGAGAGGTGGTGGTTGTGGAGGTGGTGGTGGTTGTGAGAGGTGGTGGTGGTGGTGGAGGGGTGGTGGTGGTGGTGGTGGTGGTGTGTGGTGGTGGTGGTAGTGGTGTGAGAGGTGGTGGTGGTGGGAGAGGTGGTGGTTGTGGAGAGGTGGTGGTGGTGGAGAGGTGGTGGTGGTGGAGAGGTGGTGGTGGTGTGAGAGAGGTGGTGGTGGTGGAGAGGTGGTGGTGAGGTGGTGGTGGTGGTGGTAGGTGGTGGTGGTGGAGGTGGTGGTGGTGATGGTGGTGGAGAGGTGGTGGTGGTGGAGAGGTGGTGGTGTGGAGAGGTGGTGGTGGTGGAGAGGTGGTGGTGGTGGAGAGGTGGTGGTGGTGAGAGGTGGTGTGAGAGGAGAGAGGGTGGTGGTGGTAGAGGTGGTGGTGGTGGTGAGGTGGTGGTGGTGTGAGAGGTGGTGGTGGTGGTGAGAGGTGGTGGTGTGAGAGAGAGAGGTGGTGGTGGTAGTGAGAGAGGTGGTGGTGGAGAGGTGGTGGTGTGAGAGGTGGTGGTGGTGGAGGTGGTGGTGTGAGAGGTGGTGGTGGGTGAGGTGGTGGTGGTGGAGAGGTGGTGGTGGTGGTGGTGAGTGGTGTGAGAGGTGGTGGTTGTGGAGGTGGTGGTGTGAGAGGTGGTGGTGGTGGAGGTGGTGGTGGTGTGAGAGGTGGTGGTGGTAGAGGTGGGTGGTGGTGGAGAGAGGGTGGTGGTGGAGAGAGTGGTGGTGGTGGAGAGAGGTGGTGGTGGGTGGTTGTGGTGGTGGTGGTGAGAGAGTGGTGGTGTGAGAGAGTGGTGGTGGTGGGAGAGGTGGTGGTGTGGAGAGGTGGTGGTTGTGAGAGGTGGTGGTTGTGAGAGGAGGTGGTGGTGTGAGAGGTGGTGGTGGTGGTAGTGGTGGTGGTGGTTGTGGTGGTGGTGGTGGTGAGTGGTGGTGGTGGTGTGAGAGAGGTGGTGGTGGTGGGTGTGAGAGGTGGTGGTGGTGGTGGTGGTGGTGTGGTGGTGGTGGTGAGAGTGGTGGTGGTGGTAGAGGTGGTGGTGGTGTGAGAGGTGGTGGTGGTGGTAGTGGTGTGGTGGGGGATGGGTGGTGGTGGTGTGGAGAGAGAGGTGGTGGTGGTGGTGGTAGTGGTGTGAGAGGTGGTGGTGGTGGTGGTGGTGGGTGGTGTGAGAGGTGGTGGTGGTGGTGGTGGTAGTGGTGAGAGGTGGTGGTGTGGTGGTGGTAGTGGTGTGGAGGTGGTGAGGTGGTGGTAGTGGTGTGAGAGGTGGTGGTGGTGGTGGTGGTGGTGGTGGGAGAGGTGGTGGTGGTGGTAGTGGTGTGAGAGGTGGAGGTGGTGGTGGTGGTGGTGGTGGTGGTGGTGGTGGAGAGGTGGTGGTGGTGGTGGTGAGGTGGTAGTGGTGTGAGAGGTGGTGGTGGTGGTGGTGGTGGTGGGTGGTAGTGGTGTGAGAGACGGTGGTGGTGGTAGTGGTGTGAGAGGTGGTGGTGGTGGTGGTAGTGGTGTGAGAGGTGGTAGCGGTGATAGTGGTGTGAGAGGTGGTGGTGGTGGTGGTAGTGGTGTGAGGGTGGCGGCGGTGGTAGTGGTGTGAGAGGTGGTGGCGGTGATAGTGGTGTGAGAGGTGGTGGTGGTGGTAGTAGTGGTGTGAGAGGTGGTGGTGGTGGTGGTGGTAGTGGTGTGAGGGTGGTGGTGGTGGTGGTAGTGGTGTGAGAGGTGGTGGTGGTGGTGGTAGTGGTGTGAGGGTGGTGGTGTTGGTGGTAGTGGTGTGAGAGGTGGTGGTGGCGGTGGTAGTGGTGTGAGAGGTGGTGGTGGTGGTGGTGGTAGTGGTGTGAGGGTGGTGGTGGTGGTGGTAGTGGTGTGAGAGGTGGTGGTGGTGGTGGTAGTGGTGTGAGAGGTGGTGGTGGCGGTGGTAGTGGTGTGAGAGGTGGCGGTGGCGGTGGTAGTGGTGTTAGAGGTGGTGTTGTTGGTGGTGGTAGTGGTGTTAGAGGTGGTGGTGGTGGTGGTGGTGGTAGTGGTGTGAGAGGTGGTGGTGGCGTTGGTAGTGGTGTTAGAGGTGGTGGTGGTAGTGGTGTGAGAGGTGGTGGTGGCAGTGGTAGTGGTGTGAGAGGTGGTGGTGGCAGTGGTAGTGGTGTGAGAGGTAGTGGTGGCAGTGGTAGTGGTGTGAGAGGTGGTGGCGGTGGTGGTGGTAGTGGTGTGAGAGGTGGTGGTGGCAGTGGTAGTGGTGTGAGAGGTGGTGGTGGCAGTGGTAGTGGTGTGAGAGGTGGCGGTGGTGGCAGTGGTAGTGGTGTGAGAGGTGGTGGCGGTGGTGGTGGTAGTGGTGTGAGAGGTGGTGGCGGTGGTGGTGGTAGTGGTGTGAGAGGTGGTGGCAGTGGTAGTGGTGTGAGAGGTGGTGGCGGTGGCAGTGGTAGTGGTGTGAGAGGTGGTGGCGGTGGTGGTGGTAGTGGTGGCAGTAGTGAGGTATCTAGTGCTCGTAGTGGCGATGCGCAAGTTGAAAGTAAATTTGATAATAGTGGTGAGGTGTTGTGGGTCGAAGTGGTCGTTATGGTGATGGTGTAGTAGTTGTGGTGGTCGTAATTGTTGGAGTAGCAGTGGTGGTCGTATGGTAGGTGGACCTCGTAGTAGTGATGGTTGAAGTGATTATGAGTATGTGGTGGTGATGGTCGTAGTGGATATGTTGTGGTGATGGTCGTAGTGGATATGTGGTGGTGATGGTCGTAGTGGATATGTGGTGGTGATGGTCGTAGTGGATATGTGATGGTCGTAGTGGATATGTGGTGGTGACGGTCGTAGTGGATATGTGGTGGTGATGGTCGTAGTGGATATGTGGTGGTGATTATAGGTGTTTGTGTTGCGATGGAATGCAGTGTTGGTACTGGTGATTATAATGGTGGTTTGGTAGAAAACAAAGTATTAATGATGAGCCTAGAAATGTAGTACACATATTCTGATGTAATCTCAAACAAAGTAGTTGAACTGACTGATGAAACAAATCTCGAAATAATAGCCATGATAGAAATTAAATTTACCGAAATGATCATTAATGCATTATTCCCTAGATAGCAAGAAGAGAAAAATAACAGAAGACAGAAAAGGGAGTGGCACTGCAGGTAAAAAATGTCAGTGCATGTTAAGAGATAACTTTACAGGTGGATACTAATAATGTGGACAATGTCGCAGGAATTGTTTCTGTGGAAGGAAAAAGTTTTTGCGTCTGTAATTTTAAAACTCCCAGACACTCAAAAGGGACCAGCCAAGATACAAGAATGCAAACAGGACATTCATAAATAGTATGCAACGTGAGACTGATTTATGTCTTAGGTTGAGAGGAAGACAATGGGAGATTTCAATTATGTCTTCTCCATAATTTTAGTTATAGAGAGGACAAGACAAACAGGAAATAGAGAAGACACCAGCATCATTGAAAGCAGGAGGACCAGTGTGAACCAGATTACTACAAAGGTTGTTAGTTTGTCGAAAGTTGAGTTTCACATCAAGAGGACGCAAGCTATTAGTGATTTTTTTTTTTACTTCAGATATGAAGGGGATGTCAGAGCACATCGGTATTAGTGTTGACAACAGGTTTGGAATGAAAGAAATTTCGTAAATTTTGTTTAGCTTGAGAATAGGCACAGCTGATATAATGTAAAGATTATGTATCCAAAGCGAGATAAAAACTTGTAAATAAAATAAACTTCAGAATCAAGAAACTGAGGGTCACTAGTGCGTAGGGTCCGGAGGAATAGAGACAAGAACATTTAACAGGAGGATAGAAGGAAAATAAATGAATGTACATAGCACTGTGCGATACCGAAAGTTTGAGACAAGTATTTACCATTGAAGTAGAAGGAGTTAGAGTCAACACAGACTCTGATGAGTTCGAGGAAAACTCGAGTGGGAAGCGGGAGATGAAGAAGGCCCTCAGTCGTCTTCTGACTAAGGAAAGAGAGATCATCATCATGGGGAACATTAGTAAACAAAAAGTCAACATTTAGACTAAGCAACTTAGAGGAGGGCTGCAGGCACAGTCTTTCTATGCAGTCCTGAGAGTGACGGAGATGGGCAGGAGGAAAATTAAAAGGAAAAAGGTTTCAACATAAGGAAAAGTTGGAACTGTTTTGTTGGTATAAGTGAGAGTTTTGGCAAGCGGAGGCAAGAGGATATCCGACAGAGTCTCTTGAGGACCGAAGAGGAACACCTGGTTCGTGAGTGTTAGGTCGACCGTAGAAATAACGAGGAGAAAGGTAAATGACCCGGCAACGTTTTACGAGACCAAAGAGAGGAGGACACAGACTATAGATTATTCGTTATCTTCAGCCACATTATTGTGACGCATCTTTTGCTGATGATGCTAAATTAATTAGGCGATTCAGAACTGAGGAAGAATGCAATTAATTACAACATGAATTAGACAATATATAGAGATGGTCTGAGAAGTGGCTACTTGAACTTAACACTGAGAAATGCAATGTTGTGAGGATAGATGTTAGAGTAAGAAGAACTACAATACAGAATAGCATGAAGGGGAGGCAACCTCCATCTTCTGAAAAAGAGAAAGACTTAAGAGTGGACATAATGCGAGATCTAACACCAGAGGCACACATCAGCAGGATAACGAGGGCAGCATATATCATACTGGCAAACGTCTCGTTATCCTTTACCAACTTTGACAAAGCTCCCATCCGAGCATTGTATATATTTTTTGAGAGACCTTTTATGGAGCAGGCTGCTCCTGCATGCAACCCCTACTAAAAGAACTATGAAGCCTAACTAGTATAGGTTAAATAAAAAGAAGAAAATGGCGCAACGCACATTCCTGAGCAAATAGGATTCAGCTATGAAGAGAGACTGAGGGAACTGGACCTCACTACAGCGGAAGACAAAGAATAAGGCACACATGATAGCGACAAATAAAATACTAAATGGGGGGAAAAGAACACAATCGACTTGAGAATGGTCCAGGACGGACCGAAACGTCGTCGTCCCTTCACGTTTTAGTGTGTGGTCTAGTTAACACTAAAGGGGGAAGAAAGGGAGGTATTATCAGGAAAAAATGCCAAGTTATTACGACAATGCAGCACTGGGAGAGGGTCAGAATAAGGATTTGGGATGGGACAGGGGTAAGGAATAGTGCCCAATCACTTGGGAGGTCGGGGATTGAACGCCGACTTGCATGAAGACCGTCACTCTACCGTCGAGCCCAAGTGGTTGGACACACATAGGGGAATGCCAAATTACACACAAAAACAATGATCAAATTAAGGAACATTAGATCGAGACGACATAATTGAAAATTGAAAATCCAGATGAGGCACAAGGATGTCAAAAAGAACTTTTTCAGTCCAAGAGTCGTAAGTAGGTGGAACAGACTAGATGAGGAAGTTGTCGAAGCCAATTCGATACGCAGCTTTAAATGTAAATATGATAAGAAAAACGAGTGAAAAGAGTCACTGAATTCAACAATGTCTGTCGAAAGTCGGGGCTTAAGAGCTGATGTTAGACACACACACGCACACACACACAAACACACACACACACACACACACACACACACACACACACACACACACACACACACACACACACACACACACACACACTGTGTGTAGATATGATAGAGCCCAATAGGCTCTCGAACCTGTACACCTGTTGATTGACGGTTGAGAGGCGGGACCAAAGAGCCAGAGTTCAACCCCGGCAAGCACAACTAGGTGAGTACAACTAGGTGAGTACACTACTGGAGGTGGGGACTAGAAACTTTTAACCCAGCATGTCAGAGAACCCACAAGGATGAGAGGAAATGATTAACCAGCGAGACTCGACCTGGTCTTCACCCTGAACGACTCTGACATAAGAGAAATCGGTTTTGAGGACCCAGTAGGAATGAGCGACCACAGTGTATTGGTGTTTGAGTACCTGATTGAAGAAGGGTTATTGAACTCGAGGAGGGATACCGAAACCAAAAGGTTAGCATACCGAAAGGGAAACTATGAGGAGATAAGAAAATTCCTAACAGATATAGCATGGGAAACAGAGCTCAGGGAAAAGACGGCCAAAGATATGATGGACTACATCACGCAAAAGTGCAAGGACGCAGCAAACAAGTTTGTCCCAGCCCAAAAGGAAAACAGTGAAATAAAGATGAGAAACCCATGGTTTAATCAGAGATGTTGGCTAGCTAAGCAGCAAAGGAAAAGGGCATGGAGAAACTATAGGAATAACAGGACACTGGAGAGCAGAGAAAGATACCAGAATGTCAAGAACGAATATGTCAGGATGAGAAGAGAGGCAGAAAGACAATATGAAAATGACATCGCAAGCAAGGCAAAGACTCAGCCTAAATTGCTGCATAGCCACATCAGGAGAAAAACAACAGTAAAGGAACAGGTTATGAAATTAAATATAGGGGCAGAAGGATTCACTACAAACGACAAGGAAGTGTGTGAGGAACTGAATAAGAAATTCCAAGAGGTCTTCACCTTAGAGCAAGGAGAAATCCCAGAGATAAGAGAGGAAATAGCTAACCAGGGACCACTGGAAGAGTTTGAGATTACCAGCAGGGAAGTAAGGAAGTGTTTACTAGAGTTGGATGTGACAAAGGCTATAGGCCCAGATGGAATCTCCCCTTGGATACTAAAGGAAGGAGCAGAAGAACTGTGCCTACCACTCTCCATAGTGTATAACAAATCTCTGGCAACAGAGGAACTGCCAGAAATTTGGAAAGCAGCTAACGTAGTCCCGATATACAAGAAAGGGGCTAGACAGGAGGCACTGAATTACAGGCCAGTGTCCCTAACCTGCATACCATGCAAGCTGATGGAGAAGATTGTGCGAAGAAAGCTAGTGGAGCACCTGGAGCGAAAGAACTTTGTAACACAGCATCAACATGGGTTCAGGGATGGCAGGTCCTGCCTACCAGGGTTACTTGAATTCTACGACCAGGCAACATAAATAAGGCAAGAAAGAGAAGGGTGGGCAGACTGCATATTTTTGGATTGTC